ATTTGTTTATTCTGGACATCTCATGTAAGTGGAATTGTCCAATGTGTGACTGGCTTCTTTCACTTAGCAGAATGTTTTCAGGGTTTATCCATGTTGTACCAAGTGTCAGTACTTCATTCCTTTCTGTGGCTCAATAATACTCGATTGCATAAGTGAGGTACACCACATACTGTGTACCCACCCATCAGGCGATGGGCATTTGTGTGGTTTCCACTTGTTGGCTACTATGAGTAATGCTGTGTACAAGTTTTTGTGTGAACATATGTTTTCTTTTTTTTAGGAGTGGAATTGCTGGGTTGTATGGTAACTCTGTTGACTTGCTTGCCAGACTGTTTTCCAAGGCAGCTGTACCATTTCGCATTCCCTCCCGCAGTATGTGAGGGTTCCAGTTTCTTTACATCCTGCCTAGCACTCCTTATCTGACTGTTTGATTCTGGCCATCCTAGTGGGTGTGAAGTGGCGTCTCATTGTATTTTAATTTGTGTTTCCCTAATGACTAATGATGCTGAGTATCTTCTCGTGTGCTTATGGGTCTTTGTATATCTTCCTTGGAGAAATGTCTGTTCAGAGCCTTTGCCCTTTTTAATTTTTGTGTTTTTATTATGAGTTGGAAATGTTCTTTATATATTTTAGATACAAGTCTGTTATCAGATATATGATTTCCAAGTACTCTCCTATTCTGTGGGTTGTCTTTTTATTTTCTTGAGTGTGTCCTTTAAAGCAGATAAGTTTTTAACTTTGATGAAATCTAATTTATCTAGTTTTTGGTTATTGCTTGTGTTTTTGTTGTTGTATCTAAGAATTCTTTGCCAAATCCAAGATTATGAAGATTTATCCCTGTGTTTTCTTCTAAGTCTTCTGTAGTTTTAGTGCTTACAGTTTGTTCTTCAATACATTTTGAATTAATTTTTGTACACAGTGTGAGTTAAGGATCTAACTTCATTTTTTTTGCGTGCGGCTATTCATTTGTCCCTATACCATTTGTTGAAAAGACTATTCTTTTGCCATTAAATGGCCTTGGCACTCTTGTTGAAATCAATTGGCCATAGATGTATGTATTTACTTCTGGATACTCAGTGGTATTCCACTGATCTGTGTCTCTCCTTATGCCAGTTCCACACAGTCTTGACTGCTGTAGCTTTGTAGTAAGTTTTGAAATCAGGAAATGTGAGTCCTCCAACTTTGTTTTTCTTTTTCAAGATTCTTTTGGTTATTCTGGGTCCCTTCTATGTCCATATGAATTGTAAGGTCAGTTTATGAATTTCTACAAAGAAGTAAGCTGGGATTCTGAAAAGGGTTGCTTTCAGTCTGTAGATCTCTTTGGGAGTATTGCCATCATAATAATGTTAAGTCTTCTGACTCATGAACATGGGATATTTTTCCATTTATTTATATCTTTAAAAATTTTTTTCAACAGTGATTTGTAGTTTTCAGAGTATAAGTTTTGCACTCCTTTGGTTAAATTTATTTGTAAGTATTTTATTTTTTTTGGTGCTTTTGTAAATGGAATTGTTAATTTCATTTTCAGATTATTTGTTAGTGTATAGAAATACAATTGATTTTTGTATATTGATCTTGTATCCTACAACTTTGCTGAACTAGTTTATTAGTTCTAATAGTTTTTTGGTGGATTCCTTAGGATTGTCTATATAGAAGATCATGTCATTTGCAAATGGAGGTAGTTTTACTTCTTCCTTTTCAATCTGGGTGACTTGTATTTCTTTTTCTTGCCCAATTGTTCTAGCTAGAACTTCCACTGCAACACTGTAACGCTGAATAGAAGTGGCAGGACGAGGGGGATCAGGGCCTCACCCAGTAGCCCTCTCAGCATGCCATGCCCGAGGGAGAGCTTCACTTCTACATGTGGGGGCTGCTGCAAAAAGGAAGCCCCTACCTCTTGGCAACACTCACCAGGGACTTAGCCTCAGCAGCAGACAGCTGGGGCAGAGTGAGAAACAGGGAAATCTTGCTTCCCCAGGAGGAAAGCCCTCCCACTGGGAGCTGGGGAGGGAGCCCATGCTCTCGGTTGCAGCACTCTAGAGTGGAATTTCTACCTCACTGAGCTGGGACCATGGAGCAAGGAGCTGCCTTGGTTCAAATATCACAGACTCCCGCCTTTCTTACTGAGATTTTGTAGCTCTTCTTGAAGAGATGTTTTTTCATTCGCTATTTGCTCTTAGGACCATTTCCAGAGGCTTTGAATAGTTGTTTTGTAAGTAATTTTCACCAGTTTCACTGTCATGCTGGAAATTGATTTCTCTAATCTGGCTTCTTTCAAGATATTTGCTTTGTGTTTGGTTTGCTGCAGTTTGAATGTGGTAAGTCTAGGTGTAGATTTTGTGGTATTTATCCTGCTCGTGTTGTCTGAGTCGCCTTGATTTGTGGCTTC